TATATTCTGTTCCTCCAGATTTTCCCCCCTCACCTCATCGTGCTTGTCCTCGTCCACGTCCTCCTCCTCCACCTCCGCTTCCTGTCCTCCTCTACCACTTCCGCGACCGCTGCTCGTCCTCGTTGTTCCTTGCCCCTACCTCGTCGTCGTCGTCGTTGACCTCCTCGTCGTTCGCCTTCCGCTCCCAAATCCTTGCCTCTTGCAAACGTCGCACCGCAAGACGTGTCCATAGGCTGGGCCAGGCATCTTCCGTGAATCGCGAAGCTCAGGCATTCCAACAGTTCGACGGATGGAGGAGCAGAGGGAGGGGGGGGGAGGAGGAGGAGGAGGAGGAGGAGGAGGAGGAGGAGGAGGAGGAGGAGGAGGAGGAGGAGGAGGAGGAGGAGGAGGAGGAGGAGGGGGAGGAGGAGGAGGGGGAAAAGGACGAGGAGGAGACCCCTCGTTTTCACCATGTGATTCTCTCCTTTGCGCCGAGTGCATTCGACGGTAAAACGGTTCTTACACGTGCACGGATGGAGGGCCGGCCGGTTCTCAATGTGGCTCTCGCCTCAGCACCGCGCACGCTCGTCTTGAGCGTTTCCATCTGGTACATGGATGGAGGTTGGGTCGTTTAGATTATGTGTCGTAGTTCGATACGATCGAAATGGATGCGGAAAGAATGGGTACAAAGACCAACAGCAGTTCCTGTTCATTTTGAACAGGACTCGCTGTCCGCACCGCCGCAGCCTGTATCCATTTGAGACAGGAGGCCGCCTGCCCAACAGCGGCCGCTGTTGGTTTAGGACAACATTTGTTGTTGGGCATTGTGCCCATCTTTTCCGTACCCATTTCGGGCGTCCAAAGTACATGGATGGAGGTTGGGTCGTTTAGATCATGTGTCGTAGTTTCAGCCCCACGCACATCCGTCTTAGAAGCCTTTATAACACTTGCACGGATGCAGGGCCGGTCGTTTTCAATCGTTGGCTTTCGCCTGCAACTGTTTCAACGAGCACCAGAAGTGTATCAGTGTCGAGCACAGTTCCGAATGGAGGGCGGCTCATTTTCAAAATGGGCCTCCCGGACGGGGCCAGGACGACGATAAATCCGTTCCAGAGCGTTCAGGAGCGCTCTCAGAGCGGTCCAGAACGCTCTGAGAATCCCGCGGCGCCCGAGACATCCTCCAGGGACGCCTGAGCTCAGAGATTCCCGACCTATCCCCGCCCGACTCTGTCCTCGTCCTGGCTTCGTCGTAAAGTTCGACCTGCTGGCCAGAAGCTCGGAGCACTTGCAGCAGCCGCACGGATGGAGGGCGGTTCCTTCACAGGGCAGGGCTGCCACCGAGAGATTCGTGGAGCTGCACGCCCCACCTCGGTCGAACTCCTCCAACGGCTCGGCAGGGTGGGAGGGTTTTTTTGAAGTGGAGCTGCCGCCTGCTCTGCCCACGGGGCGCCAGTCGTTCAAGGGGGGGGGGCGCCTTGCGCAGGGAAAGAGGATGCCTGTAGGGACTGGTGGGGGATTTGGGACGGGAGTCCGTGCCACAGCAGCGTTGACGCATCTGGGGTTCACTCTGGCCATCCCCTCCTGCTCCCCTTTTTTCTTGCTCAGTCTCCTCCGCCCCGCTCCCCATCCTCCTCCTCCACTCCTCGTCATCGTGGTCGTCGTCGTCCCGCACCTCCTCGTCCTCTCCCCTCGCCGCCGCCGCCGCCGTCGTCGTCGTCGTCGTCGCCCACGTCGTCGCCAGCGTCGTCGTCGCCCTCGGCGGCGGGAACCCGCTCGGACTGGGACGTGGTGGGCGCGGTCGGGCCGCGCGGAGGGCGAGCCGCGACCTCGTTGTCGGGTGGGCTCACGGGCTACCACCTGAGCAGGTTGTCACCTCTTGCGGTGCGCTTGTGAACTTGCCTCTCAAGTACTGTCTCTGCTCAGGCGCTCACTTTGAGATGCACCTATCCCGAGGAGGCCACTACTGCACGCTGCGCTTGTTGTTTTCCTCCCTTCGGGCATGCATCATGTGATTAATTTAGAGGATTTCCCCTGAGAGTTCAATCTTCAGCCAGCTCTTATTTTTCAATATTTAAAATATTTGCTGCGATAGGTGATCCGCAACGTCTTCGTGGAGGCAACGAGCGCCGAGAAGGGCGTGGGCATCGTGAAGGCCTCCGCCGCGGTGCTCCTCCTGGGCGATCGGCAGGCAGTGGATATGGATACACGTCGCCGTGCCGTTGATTCCGACGCGCGGCTTGACGCCTTGAGGAGGGCGCCGCGGCCACCAGGGCCAACGCCGCCTCGGACGCGGTGGGCTTGCCGTGGGTGTGCTGCGGTGCCGGCTCCGTCTACTTGGGCGCGGGACGCAAGGCTTGCGGCCCCACGGGGACCCAGGTATGTCCACGTCCACTACCCCCTGGTGCCCCAGGACATCGCTACTCTGGGGGTGGCCGTGGATACAGCCACGCTCGCCTCTTGGGCGATTTGTGGTAGGGGGAGGAGGAGGAGGAGGAGGAGGAGGAGGAGGAGGAGGAGGAGGAGGAGGAGAAGGAGGAGGAGGAGGAGGAGGGGGGGGAGGGGGGG